TCTCTTAGCAAGATTTTAATATACAATATAATATTATTAACTATAGTCCTCCTTTAGGACATCATATATCTTTATTCATCCTATAAAACCACAAGTTTGTACTTTTTGATCCACATCTTCTCATTTCCTTCTGCTCTCTGTACCTGGTAACCACCATTCTACTTCCTATGTATTATACTTTTTTTTTTAAGATTCCACATATAAATGATATTATGCAGTAATTCTTTTTCTTTTTGTGTCAGGCTTCTTTCACTTAGCATAAATTTCTTCAGGTTCATCCATGTTGTTGGTAATGGCAGTATCTCCCTTTATAAAGCTGAATACTATTCCATTGCATATGCAGCCATTTCTCAGTATCCATGGTGGATTGGTTCCAGGACCTTCTGCAGGTACCAAATTCCTCAGATGCTTAAGTTCCTTATATAAAATAGAATAGTATTTTTATATAACCTATACATATCCTCCAGACACTTTAAATCATCTGTAGATCACCTATAACACCTAACACTATGTAATTGCTATGTAAATAGTAGTTATACTCTATTATTTCATATTTTTATTATTTTTCATTGTTTTATTGTTATTTTTAAATTCTTATTTTTGTATATTCTGGATATTAACCCTTGACAGATGTATAATTTGCAAATATTTTCACCTATTCTGTAGGCTGTCTCTTCACTCTGATGATTGTTTTATTTGCTCTAAAGAAGTTTTTAATTTGATATAATCCCATTTGTCTATGTTTGTTTTTGCTGCTTGTGGTTTACAGTTTTATTCAAAATATCCTTTCTCAGTCCAATGTCATAAAGCATTTTTGCTATGTATTCTTCCAGTAGTTTCATAGTTTTTGGATTTACATTTAAGTCTTTAATATATTTTGAGTTGATTTTTGTATATGGTAATAAATAGGGGTCCAGTTTCATTCTTCTGCCTGTGGGTATACAATTTTCTCAGACTAATTTATTGAAGAGACTGTCCTTTCACCAATGTGTGCTCTTGGACATTTTATCAATATTTATTCTTCCAGTCCATGAACACGAGGTATCTTTTCATTTATTTTTGTCCTCTTTAATTCTTTTCATCAATATTTTATAGCTTTCAATGTAGAGGCTTTTTACCTTCTTGGTTAAATTCATTCCTCAGTATCTTGAGTTTTATTTTGCAATGATTATAAATGAAATTGTTTTCTTGATTTCTTTTTCAGATAGTTCACTATTAGCGTATAGAAACACTAGTGATTTTTCTATGTTGATTTTGTGTCCTCCAACTTTACTGAATTTGTTTATTAATTCTAATGGCTTCATGGTATTTAGGGTTTTCTATATACAAGATTTTTAAAAATCATATTTTGATGTGCCAAAAAGAAGGATGTCCCCCTTGTCTAGATTGTTAAATTTAACATAAATATTTTTTAAATTAATATTATATCTTCTATTATCCTTTTATTGTCTTTATGATCTGTTTTGAGGTACTCTTTTAAATTCCTAATAGTAATAATTTGTGTTTTCTCTCTGCTATAAGCATTATTATACTTTTTATTCTCCATAGTTTCTGTTAATTGGGTTACAAAGGCTTTATTCTTTTTTTAAATTTTTTTTTAACATTAAAAAAACCTCATTTTTTCATAGGCAGAGAAAAGTATTTCGAAAGTAGCAAGATATTTAGAAAGAAGAACTTGAAAGTTTGGGTGAATGAAGTTCTTTAGTCACCAGAGCATAGTATCATCCAGTTAGGAAAAGATAATTGCATAGAGAAAATACATAACTTTTAAAAATATTTAAATGCTTAACTACAGAAATAAAAATGTGGAATTTTGGGTTATTCATGAAATTTTGGGTCTAACAATAAATCATTTAAAAGTTGACTGCGGCCGGGCGTGGTGGCTCACGCCTGTAATCCTAGCACTCTGGGAGGCCGAGGCGGGCGGATTGCTCAAGGTCAGGAGTTCGAAACCAGTCTGAGCGAGACCCCGTCTCTACCAAAAATAGAAATAAATTAATTGACCAACTAAAAATATATATACAAAAAATTAGCCGGACATGGTGGCGCATGCCTGTAGTCCCAGCTACTCGGGAGGCTGAGGCAGTAGGATCGCTGAGCCCTGGAGATTGAGGTTGCTATGAGCCAGGCTGACGCCATGGCACTCACTCTAGCCTGGGCAACAAAGTGAGACTCTGTCTCAAAAAAAAAAAAAAAAGTTGACTGCAAAACAACAGCAAAATGTAATGACAGAGCTAAAAGAATAGATTATGTATTGGCACCTACCATGTGTCAAACTTTTGCTGGAATTAAAGTGTGTAAAGGTGAGTTATACATGCTTCCTTTCATGAATTCATTAATTTTCTATTTAAAATAATTAACAATTTTTTTACATAAAAGAGGCCTGATTGGAATAAGATAGTTGACGTTAAGAGGAAGTATACCCATTAAGAAAATTGTTTATAGGATGAATATTTATAGTTGATAAATGTCCTATACAGTTAAGAAGTACTTAAATATGAAAAATGTCCTACATTTCATGATTTGGAGTAAGTAAATGCCTTTTCCTGATGTTATAAAATTGAATTTATGGAGAAAATTGTATTTTCTAACTAGATACTAATTTTAAAACTGTTTATAAAAAATAATTTCTATGGATTGATATTCCTTAATACGATCCTTTAAGGTGGTCTATACTTATTTAAACTTCATACTTTAAAGGAAAAATAGCTTATTTCAAACTACAAATTAATGAGTGGTTTCTTCTTAAAAAAACTGAACTGTGAAGTTTTTCATTTTGTTTTATTTTCATAATTTGTTTTTGAAATGGTCATGAAATTTAACAGATATGTGTTATGTCACATTAAGAGGAAATAAAAGATGTTAAATTTAAGAAGCTAAATTCTATATTTAAGATTTATATTTATAATTATATATTAATATATGTTATATATCTGTAGATCTATAGCTGTATACCTCATTTTTCTTGTCTCACTGTTTTAGCTAGGACAACTCACCTCATTTTCTCCAGTCTTTGGAGAGGGAATTATACCCATATCTCCACTGGTTCCCAGGCCTTCAGATTCAGACTGAAATTACACCACTTGCTTTCCTGGGTGTAGCTTGCAGATGCAAGATCATGGGATTGCAGATGCAAGATCATGGGATTTCTCAGCCTCCACAATCACATGAGCTGATTCCTTGTAATTCTTTCTGTGTGTGTGTCTCTCTCTCTCTGTGAATATATATATATATATCTCCATATCCTGATGGTTCCATTTCTCTGGAGAACCCTAACTAATACATATTTATAGATTATAGATCAATATTTATCTACTCTCTTTGAGTAGAGCATTTTCTATGTACTCCTTGTTAAATTAAGATACATGAAAGACTGGGAAAGGCATTAAAAGGCGTTATATAAACGAGCCAAAAATGACTCGTCTATATTAGCCCTGTGTTGTTTACTTCCTCACAGCAGGCCAGGACCCAAAAATTCAAAATCCTGCCAGCACCAAATCAAATTTTTATATATCCAATGTTTTAAATATAGCCAAAGCAAGCAGACTTTTAGCCATGTAGAGCCTGACAGCTTTGAATATGCTGTGAAAGTTACCCAACATCTGCTAGCCATACATAAAATAAACCTTGGGCTTATAAACTCACAAAGCCACTGCTGCTCCTAGACATCACCTAAATACATAAGTCCCTTCTCTGATTCCTTCCCCTCCTGTTTTTCACTTGTTCTCTTCCCCTTTGGGGTAGTGACACCATGCCATAGTCTCTGGAAGGTCTCATGCTGTGAGGAACCCACCCTTCTTAACCCATGCAAACCTGTCAAAGTGTGGCCTAATTAAAACTTGTTATGTATTTTTGTTGTTGCTATGATTGCTTTTGGGGTCTTCTTCATAAATTCTTTTCCTGAGCTGATGTCTATAAGAGGTTTTCCAATATTTTCTTCTAAAATTCTTACAGTTTCATGCCTTAGGTTTAAATTTGTCATCTATCATCAGTTGATTTTTGTGAGGTGAAAGGTACAGATCCTGTTTCAGCCTTCTACATGTGGCTATCCAATTTTCCCTACACCATTTATTGAATAGGGATTCTTTTCCCTAGTGTATATTTTTGTCTTCTTTGTCAAAGATCAGATGACTATATAAGGATGGTTTTATATCTGGCTTCTCAGTCCTATTCCATTGGTCTATGTCTCTGTTCTTGTGCCTGTACTATGGTGTTTTGGTTACTATAGCTTTGTAGTATATCTGGAAGTCTGATAAATGTAAATGGGACCTGATCAAATTAAAAAGCTTCTGCACAGCCAAGGAAACTATCACTAGAGTCAACAGACAACCTACAGAATGGATAACTGGAATCTGTATAGAATTCAAGAAAATTAACAAGAAAAAAATCAAACAACTCCATAAAAAAAGTGGGCAAAGTACATGAACAGAAACTTTTCAAAAGAAGACAAACGGACACAAACATATGGAAAATTACACAACATCTCCAATCATCAGGGAAATTGAACTCCAGGGAGAATGGCTTTTATCAAAAAGTCTGAAAACAACAAATGTTGGCATAGATGTGGAAAGATAGGAACACTCATACACTGCTGGAAGGACTGCAAACTAGTGCAACCTCTCTGGAAAGTAATGTGGAGATATGTCAAAGAATTTAAAGTAGAACTACCATTTGATCCAGCAATCCCACTACTGGGCATTTATCGACAGGGAAAAAAGTCATTCTGTAATAAAGACACCTGCACTCAAATGTTAATGGTAGTACAATTCCCAATTGCAAAAATGTGGAATCAACCCAAATGCCCATCAATATATGAGCAGATTAATAAAATTTAGTATATGTATACCATGAAGTACTGCTCAGCTATAACAAACAATGGTGATATAGCACCTCTTGTATTATCCTGGATGAAGCTGGAGCCCATTTTTCAAAGTGAAGTATCACAAGAATGGAAAAATAAATACTCACCATTGAATTGGCAGTAATTGATCAATACTTACATCCACATATACAAGTACCATTCATTGGGTGTCAGGCAGGCAAGAAAGGGTAGGCGGTGATTCACACCTAATGGCTACAGTGCACACTTTCTGGAGGATGGGCACACTTGTAGCTCTCTGACTTGGGCAGTACAAAGGTAGTATGTATATCCAAAGTGTTTGTACCCCTGTAATATTCTGAAATAAAAAAAAGAAAGAAAAGAAAAAAAAACTTGTTATGGGCTATTGGCACCTTCTGATAATGTATTTTTCCATGATTAAATAAAAAATCCCTACAGAAGTGGAATATTGTTTGTATCATTAAGGTCAAATAAGGATGTATTAATAATATACAATAATAATAATACAATATAATAATAATACAATAATAATATACAATAATATACAATAATTATATAATAATATACAATAATAATGTATATAGAACAGACATGGGCATAATGTCGAAGGCAAATCTGCTACATCTTTGAGATAACAAAAAAATACTCCAAATTAATCCATTATGCTATATTTAGAGATTTTGCTCTCATGGTGTGGGCTAAATTAATGATGGCTTCACTGACCTTCCATGCAGATGGCAAAGATGTCAATTAAGTTTGTTTAGGAACCAGTTTGAATTCCAAATTTACTTGGTGGCAAATAGTGCCTGATTTTTACTGTATTATAGTTGAATTTTCTTTTCATCTAAAAATCGATTATATTCTATAACTTCTGATATATTTTAAATAATCTATCACCTAGAATTTATTTCAGAGATGTCTGATACGTTATATCTTAATTCACTATACATTCTTTCAATAACATTTGTAGTCAGATATTGGTTTAAATTTTGCCATAATCTCTCAGACTCTGGAGAAAAAAGTGCCTCTTTAGGGTTGGCTTCTTGATTATAAAATAAGAATTATAATCCCTAATGTAGACATTTTTGTTAAAGATTAAGTTAAGACATGTTAAAAAACATAATTTTGGTATACAGTAAATAAGTGGAAACTGCCAGTTGTTCCTATTTATATTTGTCTTGCTTTTGAGGTACTATTTTATACCTTATATTCTGTTTACTATTCACTATGTTATACCTTATATTCTGAGTTACTAGCTATATAAATGAAAGAGGACTGTCTACAGATTACGATTTCAGTGATATAAAAGAACTCACCTTTAACAATAGGAAATATAAATAACAGTAAACTTTAAAATACATTTTTTTAAAATTTAGGAATAACATTGTAACAACCCAAATTGGATGCCAGAAATAAGGAAAGGTGGACAGACAGAACAGGAGGGGCAGGCTCAAAGTGTTGGAATAGCTAAGGAGAACAAATGCCACTAAATTCAACATATGGTATAAAGTCCATGACACATTGTTAAATAGAAAAACAAGCAAGTAGAGCAATACGTGTACTACAAATATTTTCATGTAAAAGACATAAATACATATAATATTATTAAATAGTTACTTTTTCATTTGATTCTAGACAAGGTCAGAGGCTGGTTTGAGCTTCCTTAGTTAAAGAAGGCTATTGATTGAAAGCATATATAGTTTTCTCATGTAATAACCAAATCAATGGCAAGGCATGAATGAATGTATTTAGGAATTATGGACATGTGGAACCAGATATTAAGTATTCTTTCTCCCTCTCCATTTTTTCTTCCCCCTTCCTCTCTCTGCCCCTATTCTCTTTCTCTTCCCTCCTCCCCACTCAGTTGTCTGCCCATTTTCATATCAACTGCATTCTTTCCTAATGCAGATCACCTGTCAACTGATAGTTTATATCATGGCTTCCAACAACTCTTACATGACAAATACCTCAGAGCAGGGTTGGCGCTCTTTTTCTAAACCTTTCTAAAATGTATTGGTGAAGGATCTTGAAAGTCTCAACTATGAGTTTTCTCATAGATCATTGTGTATAAGGAGGTACAGTTAGACAGTATGAACATAGGCACTGAGACTCCATTCTTTAGTTTCAAAATGATTCTAAAAATTCATGAATCATAAGTTTGGCAGCTACTCCAAAGGAAGAAAAAAAAAATTACACACACACACACACACACACACACACACACACGGATCAAAATGAGGGAAGGTAGTAAGAGAAATGGTAACAAAATGGGGAAATTTACTTTTACTTAATGTTCTTATTAATATTAGGATATTAAAGTTATTGTTTGAGGTGGCCACATAGCTTCTGATAAGTTATTTTGTGGCTGCCAAAAAAGTTAATGCATGCTTAGACTCATTAGGCTGCATTAATTGACATGGTGTCTCCAACATAATGGAAAAAAAAAATCCATTTTAATCCAGTTAGGCCACATTTGAAATGTGTCACTTTAAGTGTCAATGTAGTCAAACTCTAGTAAATCTATTGAAAGAGTATCAACAAGATGAAGGAAAACCATGATGAGAGAATGGAGTTCCCCATCGGGGATGTCAAAGCAATGATCATTTATTAAGCTTATTGTAGATGATATCATACATCAGAAAAAGGGCTATTAATCAGTATTTGTCAAACTCACAGATGAGCTGAAAAGTTTCAACAATAACAGCTGTGCTTTTGTCTGTTTGTTCCCATTAGTTATGATAATATTCAATTGAATTTGCTTTAAAATTTTAAAAAATTCATCATTGGTGACTCTGCGTCCTTTTCAACTCTAAGATTTAGTTATTGCCCCTTTATGGCAATGATGCCTATAATTAATATGTCTCCATTCTAAGTAAAAAATGGCATGAATAATAATTTGGTTTTACTGTCACTATTGTAATTTGCATATTATGTTTCATTTAGTTTTTTTAAGCTGTTATATTTACTGTAAAATATAGTATGAGGCTTTGAAGTTATATAAAGTATATTCATGTGTTATACACAAAGAAATATTTGATTATATAATTTACTTTCTTTTATTATACGGGTCTGTTGAATTTAATAACAAATTGGCAATCCTGGTAAGTATGACCCCCAACAAATAAAATCATATAATGTTAATTGTTTTTATCAATTTTCATTTTGCAAGACTATAAAATACCAAAAAGCCATAAGATATATAAAATATAGAAATTTTTCTATAGTACAAAATATCTATAATTAGAGGCATTCTCCAGTGTTATGGCATAGTATGGTTTATTAGGCACAAATATAAAAAATTTTCCTTCATCTGAATATTACCTATTATTTTACTGCAGGCTATTTTGTGATTCACAGTAATATAGTATCTTTTTGTCCTAAAGAAAAATAGGAAAGCAAAATGAGAACATTATTGGTTGGCAAAGTCATTCCTTGTTTACATGGTGTTTTACATTTTTCTGGCCTGTGGGTTATTGGCAATTTTTAGAGAAGCAATACGAAAAACATTCTACTAAGTGATATATCACAAGAATGAAAGAACAAGCACCACCATAAGCATAATTTATATTTTTAAAACTAGAAAATAACAAATGAACCAAAAAGTATTGTTATATAAAAGAAGAAAACTTTCATGAAATAAGGAAATAGTGTAGAAGGGTATTTTGAGACAAGGAAGGTATGAAAAGGATTAAGAAATTTTCCAAGATAAAAACAGTGGGGGAGTGAAATGAGAACAGAAATGGAAGAAAGCCAGACAATGGTATGATACCTAGTAAAATACTAGAAGAAGAAAACATGGACACAATCTCATAAAATAGCTTTAGAGACAGTATAGTTCATAAGGGAGAGTTGTCTCAGTCAGAGGCAAGGGAACTATAATATTTATACTCTGCATACATCAGTTCTTATTTAACAGCTACTCCTATGCCAGGTGTGGATATAAATTCTAAGGACTTCTAGTTTTCTAAGGGCAAGCAAAATGAATCTGGTGGCCTGAGCACAGTCCTCTAACAGAGACTCAAGGCTCATTGTTGTGAGTGAAGCACAATGAGAGTTGGTTTCTATAAAGATGATAAAGGTATTTGAGATGATATAGACGTAACACAGCATTTTCCACAACTTCCATCTTTAGATATAAGGGGCAAACCAAGCACCAAGAAACTCTGGTGCAAGAAAATCAACAACATGAATATTTTATTTTATTTTTTTTCATTTCAAAAATAACCAAATAAAAAAATCCATGATTTCCAAGTACAAAAATCCAGTCATTTATTAGTGAAAACAAACAAACAAAAAATCAATTTGACTTCAAAGCTTTTTGCATATGACTCATTAGTTAATAATAGAATAGACATTTTTCAGGTCTACAAAGTTTGAGACAGAAAATATCACTGAATAATCTTATTCCCAGCCATGTTATTATGAATTTCAATTTTAATAAAAATTGTGGCTGGACTCTAGACAACTAGAGGATGATGATAAAACAACAATAATGCCATACCTCAGTTTTGAAGAAACTGTGGTAACAAAAAAAAAATGACAATGAGCAGGAAAGGCATTTACATATAAAACTACAAACATTTCTAGGAATTTTGTGAATAAAGCAGAATGTACATGTCTTAAATTTTGACAATACAAAAAATAATGTAAGTGAGAATATCTGGAAAAAGTTGATGGGAAGTGATAGAAATGTGTAAGTTTGCTACCTTTCTTATATTTCATAGAAGGGTCCATTGGAACTGTCTAAAATATAAGAGTTATAAAATAGATTAATGCATATTTTTAAAAAATCTCTCTAAACTATATTATTAAGTGAAAAGTCCCAGGTGCAGTATGATGTCAAAAAGATGACTAATATACATTTCTTGAAGGATCAAAGAACTTGTGAACAGTAGCTATCTTTCATCAATGGAGGCAGTTCGAGGTCATGCAGTGCAGAAGAAAGGAATTTAATTTTCATTTTATCTCTTGTACCACATAGATTTTCACAAATTCATGTATAACTTTAAAAAGTAAAACATGGAGATACATTTATTAAAAGTAAGCTACATTATTATGTCAGGACAGCATTACGCATGAAAAGGATACTGGAGAATATTATGCTGGGGTATTCCTTCCAAACAAATCAGTGCTGATATTTTTGTTTAGAGTTTTGGGAAGTCTTCTTTTTGGAATCGTCATTCTAGGTAATCTTATTTCTTCATGTGATTACTAAAAGTCCAATATTTTCCTGAAATGGTTATTTCTAAATTTCCAAGTTGAAATAATATTATATTTAATACATATCACATAGAATTTATTAGCACCCCTTGTCTCTGTTG